GCCTTTTATCCTGAATAATAGTTATTTCTTAAGAAATTTATCTCACAAAGCTAAGAAAAAAGAATAAGAGAAAACCCAATATTTTTAAAAGATTTTTTAAAGATGGACACAATATCTTTATTTATTTTCATGTGGTGCTGAGGATTGAACCCTGTGCCTCACATGTGTGAGGCAAGCACTCTGCTGCTGATCTATAACCTCAGCTCCAAGAGAAAACCCAATAATTTTGTGGTATCCTGTCCATATCTTTCTTTCTTTTTACTAAAGTTATTTAACCTACAATATAATTTGTAAAATTGTCTTGGAACTTTAAAGTTGTAGAAATACAATTTATGATGGGTGTGGAAATCCAAGATCAAAAGGTCTGGTTGAGAGAAAAAAATCCCAGGAGGCAAAGATCTTTGTCCTATTTACTGTAATTACTTTCCTTCTGTCAGTCCAAAAACAAAGTGCATATGTCTGTCCGTGAAACTAGCAACTGGAATGAGGAAGGAAAAATTGGTTATAATTTGAATGAGCTAATTCATGGATGATTTGTTGGGATGCCTGTCCCACTCACTTGTCACTGCTAGTTCCACTCCTGTAAGATTTATTGTTAGGGCCTGTGATACTGGGACAGAGGACTGAATTTGAAATTTCAGCCTGTACTTAGAACAGGAGGGGAACAATTCATTTCTATGTGACTTAAACTCTGCATCAAACTATTGAACCAAAGTGAAAATCCAGGATGGACTTTTGACTGTATTAGCAGATTTTTAAAGATGTCTGAGGAGTTGAAAGGAAGTCCTCTCTGTGGTGGAAAATCATCCGGGCTGAGGATTTACTCGATCCCCAAATTCTGTGCTGTCATGTTGGCAACCTGGATGGAAGAAGTTTTAAAAGGTCATAACTCCAAGATGCTGAAGCAGGAGTTTTAACTTTTTTTGGCAAGAATTAATAGGGGTTGGGGTTGGAGTCATAGCTCAGTGGTAGAGTGTGAGGCAAGTGGGTAGCACTGGGTTTGATTCTCACCACCCATGTAGATAAGTTAATTAAATAAAGTTATTGTGTCCATCTATGACTAAGAAAAATACTTAAAAAAAAAAACTGATAGGAGTTCGTCAAGGCATAAGGTGCTTAGAAACTGTGATACTTAAGGTGGGGAGTGGGTGAAGGTGGACTGAGGAAGATGCACATGTGTCATTAGATTCATTGGCTCATTGAAATCATCCAGAACCTTCTGCAGCAGACCCTATTGTTAATCCTTCCTAGTCCTCACTTGGCTAATTTTATTTTCAGGTCTCATCTAATATTATGCCTGTTTTCCTTCCTCAAATAAGAAGCCACTGTTTTAGCAATTATTAAAAAATATTGAAGAAGGATACATATCTATTTCTGGTATCACCATAATGATTTGAGATGTCATATAGAGACATATAGATATCATATAGATGTGTCATATGGAGACCCTTTATAATTCTAAGGCCAGGGACATGGGGATGGTGTTACATGGGCCTCTTCCCAGAGTCAGATCACTGTCTTTTAGCACATGTATGCAGGTTCCATACTAAAGATGAATCCTTGGTCAGTATAGCAGAAGCTGACTGTGGGTATATGGTGCAGATCCATAGTGCACTCCTGGAAAAATTGTCAGCTCCCTGTATCAGTAGCATCACTTCGTATGGGTTTGTTGCAAAAGGATAAGTATGAGTGAATTATTTTTTTTCCTGCTGTATAATTTTTTATTTTTTTGAAAAAATTTTTAATTGATCTTTTTTAAAATAAATGACAGCGGAGTGCATTACAATTCTTATTACACAGATAGGGCACAATTTTTCATATCTCTGGTTGTATATAAAGTATGTTCACACCAATTCGTGTCTTTATACATGTACTTTGGATAATGATGTCCATTGAATATTTTTTTAGCAGTGAAAGTGCCTTGCAAAAATGAGAGTAAGGGGCTGGGGATGTGGCTCAAGCGGTATCGCGCTCGCCTGGCATGCGTGCAGCCTGGGTTCAATCCTCAGCACCACATACAAACAAAGATATTGTGTCCGCCGATAATTAAAAAATAAATATTAAAATTCTCTCCCTCTCTCTCTCTCTCTCTTAAAAAAAAATAGAGTAAGGTTGACGTAACTATCTCACAAGAGTTTTTAAAAAATATTTAAAGGAAAAGTTATTAAACAAAAAAAATGTATTGATAACAAATTATTTCACTAACACTGGACACACATATCATTTTTCTCATTCCCTTGTTGCCACACTATTTTTATATATCGCTGTCTCTGCAAAAAAAAAAAGAATATATATATATATATATATATATATATATTATAAAAGCATGAGATTGTCTTTTTTCTTTAGTTACTAAGCACTGTATGATACGCCCACTAGGATGTGATGAATGTTTATTTAAGAATGACTCATTAAGTTGACCCAGTATGTTTTCATGTTCCTTTTCTCCCATCCCATTACATTTCTACAAAATTAGTTTTGTGTTACTGCTTTTATTATCGGTATTTTACCAGGCTATGCGTAGTTGAGATTGTTTGCAAAGGACATTGAGTAACCTGTCAGTTCTGAGAAATTTCTGACGTATGCTTTTCAATTACTCAGAAGCAAATGAATGCTTGACAAATGGGACCTGTGTGTCTTATTTCCCCAGAGCCACATAGAAAAGCTGTCTGCACATAAAATACTTTGCATCTTTAATAGGAGACAAGCAGGAGAAATCCAGTCTTACCCGATGAAAGCGATACATTTCTAAAAGGGTTCACTTTTTACTTCCTACATAATCTGAAATGAATGACATTCAATATTATATTGAAGAGCTGACCATCACTAATCTATTGATTTCGGGTAACAATTGGTTTCCTTATTTTCTTTCGTTTTTATGCTATATTTTCCTCTCAAAATTTCACAAACATGAGTGTGATTATAATATCAGAAAAAGTTTTTAAAAGTAAAACCTCACCCCCAATCTTATCAAAAATCCCTGCTTCGTTTTCCTTGCTTGCTTTCTGATTTTTTTTCCTATGTTAAATATGCTTAGTTGTAGAATCTGTGTCTTTTATTCACAAAAGTCAAGGTTAAACAAGTGCTAGCTCCTTCATGAACATTTATTTAGTTAAATGACAAATAGGTATACCTCTTTCTGTTGCCCCCTTGTTGCATTCCTACAGTTGGGTATGACATGTCCCATGATCTTAAATCTCTAGTGAAATTCAGTGTGCCATTTCCAAGTACTGTTCCTTTAGCAGTGGTGCCTAATTCTTGATCTTCGAACAGGTCTGTATAAAAATACTTGAAATGTTACAGAAACTCAGCATTTAATAAATACCTTCTCCCATCTTCCCTCCCCTCTTAATTGAACTCTACATAAAACTTTCTACTTTCTGATTCTTTTTAAAGCAGAACATGTACCTACTTTATCTTCTAGATATGTTATACAGGGATAGCTATCAACGCCTAAATATAGTATTGACAAAGTTGCAAATTTTTCAACAAGCACTTGTGAAGTGCTATGTTTTGGTGTGGAAGAAATTGAAGATGTGTAAAGTGTATTTTTAATTTCAAGAAATTTTTTACTTGTTTTCCATGTTGCTTTAGATTCTTTGAATTAGCTGCTTTCAATATTGAGAACTTGTATTTATGTCAATGAATAATGTTCAGTGGGTTAATTTTACCTGCCAGAATTAATGTGATACTGATTTGTTCACATTCCAGAAATATCTCTTTCTCTTATGAATGAAAGTCATTTAGATTTAGTAAAGTGGCTTTATTTTATTCTTACCAATAAAACATTTTAATACAAGCTTTAGATTAAGGTTTAGACATGTTCAAGGGTTTATTTTATAGTATATAAAGATGTCAAGTTGTGATCTTGAGTTGAGGGTATTGATGGTGAATATAAAGAAGTTGAAGGAAACAGCATTCAAAGCCAACAAGATCATTGTGCAGAAGTACAATACATGAAGTGAAAACAAACATGACTTTTCAGTTAAAATTTTATTGACTGATAAGCAATTTGTATTCTATTTCCTATTCTTTAGAATTTGTCTGCTGAATCACATGTCTCTGTAGACAAGGCCATGTAGAGTTTTCTAATTTTTATATTTTATGCATAGGCTGTACATATTCATTGGAATCAAGTTTAAACAGATATTAGAAATATAAAATGAGGAATGGGGAGTAAGATTCCTTGCCTTTATTTCTTCCATTTAAAAAAAAAAGACTATAAATAATAATATATAATAGTTGACATGGATTTTGGGTTTACTTATTTCTTTTAAAATCTCAAATATAGGAAGTCATACTTAAAGCATGATTGAATAGTAGTTTTAGTCAGATAATCTCAGCATGGTTTGGGAGCAGTTTTATTATCCTAGCAAGTTAACATCTGCTCTACATTGTTTAAAAAGGAAACAGTAGTTCACACAGACTGGCTAGCATCACGATCACCATTTTACCTGCTTTTAGACGAAACTAAACTGTAAATGCCGTAAAGCTAGAAAACACATCTGTGTAACACCTTTCTGCACATACTCATAGCACAACCCCTGACATTTAGTAAGGTCTAAAATACCTGAGTTGACATTTAGTAAGGTCTAAAATACCTGAATGCTTATAGATACAGAAACAAACTTAACAGATGAGGCAATTTACTTCCTTCCTTGGAGCAATGACTAAATTAGCCACCTCCTGGAATTTCTGTCAACAGAATACTTTTTTAAATTTTTAGAAAGTGAACAAAAGTGACAAATCCTTTTGAACACCCAGGTCTGCTAACCCTTTGTTTCCCAAATCAGCCACTCAATGGCATCTTATGTGTGGAGTGTGAGTGGGCTCTAGCAAATACATAGCTCTCAACTCTCCATCATGTGGTTGCAGGTAAAACCGTATTAACAGGTAAAAAGTGAATGCAGTCACCCTGAGTCAGGACAGCACAGGTCGCCAGATGGAGGAATGCTATTTCTAGATGCCTCTGATCCCCTCCTCCTCCCTCTCCCACTCAGGTTGCACTCTTCAGAATGATTCCCTGCAAAGCAGTGCTGACTTTTGCCCGATGTCTGATCCGGAGAAAAATCGTCACTCTAGACAGTCTGGAAGATTCCAAACTATGCCGCTGCTTGACCACCATGGACCTCATCGCCCTGGGGGTTGGAAGCACCCTGGGTGCTGGCGTGTATGTCCTTGCTGGGGAGGTTGCCAAAGCTGACTCGGGCCCCAGCATTGTGGTCTCCTTCCTCATTGCCGCCCTGGCGTCCGTAATGGCTGGCCTCTGCTACGCTGAATTTGGGGCCCGAGTCCCCAAAACTGGGTCTGCATATTTGTACACTTACGTTACAGTTGGCGAGCTGTGGGCCTTCATCACTGGCTGGAATCTAATTTTGTCATATGTGATAGGTACGTTTCACAGATAAATCTAAATTGTGTAGACTGGTAGAAGCAGCACCCCTGAGCAAGAGGCCTGGTGGTGCGAGTGCAGGTCTGCATTCCTTGGCAGCTGCCTGACCGCCCATCCCAGTGTCTCACTTTTCTCATTTCTGAAATATCTCCAGTTGCACAATTCTGTGATTGATCAATTGATTGATCTGTTGATCTTATTTATTTATTTTTTTGCTTGAAATTGAAGCCAGGGCCTCATGCATGCTGGGCAAGCACTTTACCACTGAGCTACATCCCTGCCCCAATTCTGTGATTTTGGTTCAACACCAGATATGTCTCCTAATGGGTTTGAAAATCCCATGTTAAAAAAAAAAAAAAAAAAAGAAATATATGTGTGTGTGTGTGTGTGTGTGTGTGTGTATATATATATATATATATATATATATATATAAAATATATGTATATAATATGTATTATGTGGTTCTTTATTGCAAATAAAGTCACCTGATTCTACAGTTTTGAACTTGAGCATTTGATACTATTGTATAATTACAAAATTATTAAAATAATTTTATAATGTGATTACAATTTTCAATCTATGTGAATTAATGTAAGTTAATCCTAGAATAAGACCAAGTAGCATATGATGTTAATTTTCTGCTAGTGATTTTTATTCTCTGAATGTTCTATATTTTGGGAAGGTACATCAAGTGTGGCAAGAGCATGGAGTGGCACCTTTGATGAACTTCTTAGCAAGCAGATTGGTCAGTTTTTCAGAACATACTTCAAAATGAATTATACTGGCCTTGCAGAGTATCCAGACTTTTTTGCTGTGTGCCTTATATTACTTCTAGCAGGTAAGATAACCAATCATATGTTTCCCTATGATGAGCCAAATTCCAAATTAATCATCTCAGCAAAGTAGGTCACTGCTGAATTTGGAGTGTGAGTTCTCCAGATTAAGTCAGCATGTTTACTCACTTAGGTTTCTGTTGGATGTCTGTGGGCATTGTCACTGGTTAAACTCATTTTATCTTCTGTGATTGGTTATGTTTCAAAATTAAGCAACTCAGGAGACTCAAAAAAAAAAAAGGATTGCAAGTTCAAGATCAGCCTCAGCAATTTAGCAAGACCCTTTCTCAAAATTAAAAATAAAAAAGCTCAGTGATAAAGTGCCTCTGGGTTTAAACCTCAGTAGCAAACCAAAAACAAAAGTCTGAATCTGAATTATTTGGAATGATAGAAGAAACATGTCTGAGTAAAAGGCATTAGCCAAATGATAGCATGAGGACATCAGTTTTATAATATAAATTGAACATTTGCCGGAGTGGCAATGAAGTTTCAATAAGGAAAATGTACAATTTCTTGGGATTGATTCATCTTATCCAATACAACTAAGGATATTTGCAAGTATACTATTTCTAGAAGAAATTCAGGTTTTCTATCATGCTTTCATCTGCATACTGTAGGCATCTGGTTGAAAAGGAGGCATTCAGGTCATCTTTTTTTTTTTTTTTTTTTTTTTTTTTGTCTTTTTTTGGATATTTTTTAGTTGTAGATGGACACAATACCATTATTTATTTATGTATGTGGTGCTGAGAATCAAACCCAGTGCCTCACATGTGCTAAGCCAGTGCTCTACCACTGAGCCACAACCCCAGCCCACACCTTTTGTTTTTGAACATAGATGTTGTATAGCAAACATAGTTGATGAAATTTTTCAGTTTTTACCAGTGTTATAGCATAGTGGTTTAAAAAGGCACAAGAACTAGAAGTAGGAACAATCTGGTTTTTAGTCTTGCTCTGCCACTTACTGCTTTTAGAACAGTTTACTTAATCTTTCCATCCATCACTCAGTTTTCTCATCCATAAAATAAGGATATCAGTTTCTACCTTAAACATGCCTCTTTCATGGAACATAGTAAGCACTCAATTGACGGCCAACTTCATTTTGTAAGCATAGTTAATCCCTGCTGTCCCCTTCTGTTTTCTTTTTCTTTTTTTCTTTTTTTTTTTTTCAGTTGTAGATGGACAGCATGCCTTTATTTTATGTTTATTTTTATGTGGTACCGAGGATCGAATTCAGTGTCTCACATATGCCAGGCAAGCGTTCTGCCACTGAGCTACAGTCCCAGCCCCATTTTTTTCTTTGTTTCTTTAATATATTTTTTATTTGTTCTAATTAGTCATATATGACAGTAGAATACATTTTGATACATCATACATAAATGGAGTATAACTTCTCGTTCATCTGGTTGTACATGATATAGAGTTACTTAGGTCATGTAATCATGTAGGCACATAGGGTAATAATGTCCAGTTCATTATATCATTCCTACCCCCAGACTCTTTTCCCTCCCTTCACTTCCCTCTGTCTAGTCCAGAATACCTCTATTCTTTTCCTTGCCTGCTATTGTGAATATTAGCATCATCATATCAGAAAAAACATTGGGCCTTTATTCTTTGGGATTGGCTTATTTTGCTTCCTGCTATGCCCTTTTACTTTTTTTTAATTATTTGAACATTTTTAATTTTGATTGATAGTGCTATCTGCAGTCCTGGTTTTGCTTGTGTGTGTGTGTGTGTGTGTGTGTGTGTGTGTGTGTTGCTAGGGATCAAACCCAGGGCCTTGGGCATGCTAGGCAAATGCTCTACCCCAGAGCCATTGGACATGCTAGGCAAACACTATTACTGAGCCATACCGCCAGCCCTGAAGTCCTAGTTAAGCCCATCAAGGATTGCACTAAATAAATTTTTTTAATTGTTCCTACTTCCTACTTGATTTACCCTGAGTAATCTACCGGTCTTGCCTATCCAGCCTTACCTCTATTATTTTCCCCCAGATTAGAAGGATGTGACAAAAATATCTTTTAGGCTCATTATAAAATGTTTACTTGTAAAATTATCTAATTTTAAAAATATACTTATCATTTAAAAAGTTAGTCCTTAATAAAATGTATTATATAGGGATAGAAACATGAACAAAATTTATAGGTCTAAAATGTTTTCTATTTTGCTTCTAATGGCAAAAAAAAATACATTCACTGTCTTTCATCAGATGATGGAATTTAGTTTGGTTTGGTAGCTAAACAGCCTAGCTTACATTAAATAAGTTATATCATATTTTATTTAGAGATGATTTCATTAAACTTAAAATATTCAGCATTAATCTCTCAGCATTGAGCAGCATGTAGCTGTGACCCATTTAAATTCCATGGCAAGACTAAGGCTTGACCTGAGCCTACATCATTTTTCTCTGTTCATTCACCATCATAGCTTTCCTTTAAAGATAGTCTAAACTTACATTATAACTCTGTCCTTAGAGTCTCTGAAGGTCAGAAACCCCTCTTATAAATATTTATTCCTTTGGTAATTCCCCCTGCCTTGTCAATCGGAGGGAAGTACATGCCATATTCAGATGAGATATTTATTGGTCTTTAATCTATTGGTGGGAGATGAGACCTCAGAGTAAAGAGTGCACATGGAACATTGGGAAACTGATATAAAATGTGATAGTGCCTTTGTTATTCTGTGGGATGTATAGCAACCATTTGTAACCCAGCTAGACAATTACAGAGTCAGTACTTGTGCTGACCCTGTGGCTGTCCTTTGTATCATTCAGAGTTATTATTATGAGATTCTGGGAATTAGAAGAATGAGATTCAACTTCTCTCACCTCTGCTTGGAAAATGTTGCTTATGGGATACAGGGTGTTGTGGGTATAGAGAAGAAGCAAGTAAATCTGTGGCATAGTATTTCCATAGCAGTCATTTCTCCAATAATAATATGTAAACTTTATTAGATCCATAATTCATATCTTATGCTAGATAGATTAAAGATTCAAATATGATAAATATAATAATCATTAATAACTAGAAGGAAACATATGAACATTTATAGGTTAATGTTAGGAAAAAAATCATTAAAGATAGTAAATAAAAAAGGAAAATTTATAGTTTACTTGAAAAACTTTTCTATATATATAATCAATAGGAAGGTTAAAAGCAAATGACAGAACTGGGTATAGTTAAGTGTTAGAGCACCTGCCTCATGTGCACAAGGCCTTGGGTTCTGTCCCCAGTACCACAGAGAAATAAAATAAAATATTAAATAAAAAAAGAAAGAAAGCAAATGATAAATAGGGAAAGTACCTACTATACAGAGAGCTTATAGCATTAATATATAAATAAATCTTATAAATCAGTATGAACAGAATACACTGATAGAAAAACTGGGCAATTTCAATTGGGCCAAAGTTTCTGTAGAATATTTTTACAATATGACTAAAAAGCCTTGGGTAAAATTGCATAACCTTTGATACAGTATTAACTTATATAAAATTATTGTAAATAGCTCAAAATAAAAAGGGCTGGGGGGCGCTATGGTTCAGCGGTAGAGTGCTTGCCTAACACAGGTGAGGCCCTGGGTTCGATCCTCAGCACCACATAAAAATAAATAAGTAAAATAAAGGTATTGTGTCCAACTACAACTAAAAAATAAATTAAAAAAAAAAAGGCTGGGGATGCAGCTTAGTGGTAAAATGTCCCTGGATTAAAGTCTCATTATCAAAAAAATTTAAAAAAAAAAAAAGAAAATTGTTGTGGGCTGAGGCTGTAGCTCAGTGGCAGAGTGCTTGCCTCAAATGTGTGAGGCACTGGGTTTGATCCTCAGCACCACATAAAAATAAATAAACAAAATAAAGACATTGTATTCATGTACAACTAAAAAAAATTTTAAAAAGAAAATTGTTGTAAAGAAATAATTAGAAAGTATATAGAGATATTTATAAGAGGATGATATCACTGCTCTTTATAAATGTAAAAAAAAACTTAAGAGTGATCTAATTGTCTATAAATAAGAGATTAAAGTATGGTATCTCTGTATAATTGGTTACACAGCTATTAAAAATGAGGTTATGTATTTGTTGATGTGGAAATATGTCTCTGTGTTTGTATGTGCAAAATTCTGGAGGAGACATCATGGTTGACTTTTATTCTCTTAGTTCTTCTGATAAAATCTCTTGTATAGAATATTTTTATATCTTACTATACAATAAATATATCTTACTATACAATAAATCAATAGTTTCTATAAAGCTATTGATTAAAATAAATTTAACAAGGAACTTTTTTGGCATGGCAATTGAAGAATTATATTCCAACTATGTGTAAAATAAATACATGGCGGATGTATGATTGAGCTTTTAATTTTAAAAGGTTCATTCCCCAGTACCATGAAATAAATAGCTTAAAATAGCTTTTTAGAATAGCATTCCATTAGAGTGAAGTGTTGCTTTACATTTGCCCACCATTGGTAACAATGGCCAGAGTTACTAGACTTATATTTCTTAGTGTGGAATCTCCTGGCTGAGCACTTTTTCCTCCAGAAATCAAACTGGTTGTGTTCAGAAGATGTGGCTTCACAATGAGCCAACTAATGAGTGAACTAGCCATGGAAATGGATAAATGGGAGTTAAATACAAGAAGGCTGGTAACAATAACATCCCTAAGTCTATATTTGCTTCAAAATGTCATTGCCTTTCTTGTAGGTAAAATGACAATGCTCTTTCTTTTTCCGTAGGTCTTTTATCTTTTGGAGTAAAGGAGTCTGCTTGGGTAAATAAATTCTTCACAGCTATTAATATCCTAGTCCTTCTCTTTGTCATGGTTGCTGGCTTTGTGAAGGGAAATGTGGCTAACTGGAAGATTAGTGAAGAGTTTCTCAAAAATATATCAGCAAATGCCAGGTAAAATATTTACGTTTTTTTTTTTTAATCCCCCTTTTAATTTTTATTTTAATGTTGCATTGTAATGGGGAGTACATGAAAGTTTCCTTTAGTGCAGTGGCTCTCAGCCCTTTCTGGGCTCTGTTCTATGCCAAGGCTCTCCCTCCCAGACTCCCCTCCAGACATAAAGGTGTAGGTGTGCTCCCTCTTGAGCCACTGTGAGAAGCTGTATAGCTGCTGGTTCTGGGGAAGGGCCAGGGCAAACCCTAACCACTGGAAGAACTTGACTTTTTCCCCGCAGCTGTTCACCACCTCTAAAAAACAATGAGTGTTTTTGAGTCATGCATCCTTTGGGACCACATTCAGTTTCTTTGCATTTTTTCAGACTTTTAATAATTTTTAGGTCTTGTTTTTTGGAGAATGATATTAGTTGCATAAGCAGAAATAAGATTACAGAAACATCTATTACATAGAGTAAGATACATGTAAATGTTTCTCTATATATATTGTTCATGGTCATTCTGATTAGGTAGAAATTAGTGTCCTCTGATTTTATACAGTTTTTAACATATAATAAAATTTTAGCTTCCATATTATTGAGCAAGCCTAGGGAATTCTGTTTTACTTGTAATCTGGCTCCTATCTGCTTCATGAGTTGAAGAATGTACTTGTATTGGAAAAATAGGAAGGAAGTTTCTTGTCTTTGTCACAGAGCTTGGCTCATGCTAAGGTCTGTACTCTGAAAATCTTGCCTACTTGTGGGTTGCAGCCAGAGTAGGTCTGGATCTTATGCATTTGCTATTGATTAACCTCTGCTTGGATGTTAGTGACACAGAGGGTCATCATCAAGAACAGGGTGACAAAATAAGATGTTAGTTTTAGTTTTTTATATGTCAGCTTCAAAGAACTGATGAATACAACAACTTTAAAAGGATGTTGTTTGAGACAAATCACCAAAAGTGTAAGTTTCTATGAAAATTACTTAACAATGTTTGCTGTCTTCCTTAGAGAGCCACCTTCTGAAAACGGAACAAGCATCTATGGGGCTGGTGGCTTTATGCCTTACGGCTTTGCAGGAACCTTAGCTGGTGCTGCCACTTGCTTTTATGCCTTTGTGGGATTTGACTGCATTGCAACAACTGGTAAGAATAATGTCTTAACTCCAGGTAGAAGGTGAAAGTATTCCTTATACCACAGGAGTAGCTGTGCGTGGCAGCAGAGAGTCAAGGAAAGAGTGGGATTTGGGTAGGAAGGGTACTAGTTCCAGATCCATTTGTGACACCTGTAGTGACATTCAGTAGTTTAGTGAAACTACTGAGCCTTGGCTTCTATAGCTGTACAGACCCCTCAGATACTGTGAAGATTGCCTAAGATAGCATATGAGACCAGTACTTTGCAAGCTGTCAAATACTTAGTGTTAATCATAATTACTATCCTTAACCTTCTATTTGGAGTGCTATCACTTTAAAGTGATTATCTTCTTAAATTGTCTTTTCTTTAGTCAGACAAAACATTGACTGATTCTTTTATCTTTATCCTGTACAATAAGTACTCAAAGAAAAATTACTCTCCAACATAGAACATTTAAACAAATCAATTTCAAGCAATGAAATTGAAGATGTCATCAAAAGCCTACCAACAAATAAAAGCCCAAGGCCAGACAGATTCTCAGCCAATTCTACCAGACCTTTAGAGAACTAACCCCAATCCTCCTTAAATTATTCCATGAAATAGAAAAGGAAGAAACCTTTTCAAACTCATTCTATGAAGCTAATATCACCCTGATACCAAAACCAGACCAAGACACATCAAGGAAAGAAAACTTCACACCAATATCCCTGATGAACATAGATGGAAGCATTCTTAATGAAATACTGGCAAATTGAATACAAAAACATATTAAAAAGATAGTGAACCACAATCAAGTGTGGGGTTTATCCCAGGGATGCAAGGTGGTTCAACTTATAAAATCAATAAACGTAATTCATCACATCAATAGACTTAAAGACAAAAATCACGTAATTATCTCAATAGATGCAAAAAACGCATTTGACAAAATACAGCACCCCTTCATGTTCAAAACACTAGAAAAGCTAGGGATAATAGGAACATGCCTCAACATTGTGAAAGCTGTATACACTAAAGGCCAACATCATTCTAAATGGAGAAAAATTGAAAGCATTCCCTCTAAAAACTGAAATAAGACAAAGGTGCCCTCTTTCACCACTTCTTTTTAACATAGTCCTTGAAACTCTAGCTAAAGAGTTACAAATAGGAAAAGAAGGACTCAAACTAACCCTATTTGTCAATGAAATGATTCTATATTTAGATGACCCAAAAAAGTTAACCCCTGTCTCTCACCCTGCACAAAACCAGAACGCTTCTAGAACTCATAAATGAATTCAGTGAAGTGTCAGGATATAAAATTAACAATCATAAATCAATTACATTCCTCTACACCAATGATGAATCAACTGAAAGAGAAATTATGAAAACTATCTGAGTCAAACTAGCCTCAAAAAAATTAAAACATTTGGGACTTGAGCTAACAAGAGAAGCGAAAGACCTCTACAGTGAAAACTATAGAACTCTAAAGAAAGAAATTGAAGAAGACCTCAGAAGATGGAAAGATCTTGCATGTTCTTAGATAGGCAGAATTAGTATTGTCGAAATGGCCATAATACCAAAAGTGCTATACAGATTTAGTGCAATTTTCCTGTTAAGGTTCTGATAATGATCTTCATAAAATAGAAAAAGCACTTGTGAAATTCATTTGGAAAAATAAGAGACCCAGAACGACCAAAGCAATGCTTAGTGAGAAAAGTGAAGTAGGAGGCATCACAATAGTAGACGTTATTATTGTACGACACGGATGTAGTAAAGAAACCAGCATGGTATTGGCACAAAAACAGACACGAAGACCAGTGAAACAGAATAGAGGACACAGGCAAACCCACATAAATACAGTTACCTCATACTAGCCAAAGGTGCCATAAACATATGTTGGAGAAAAGATAGCCTCTTCAACAAATAGTGCTAGGAAAACTGGAAATCCATTTGTAGCAGAGTGAAATTTAACCCCTGTCTCTCATCCTGCACAAAACTCAAAAGTGGATCAAGGACTTCGGCATTACACCAGAGACCTTATGCCTACTAGAAGAAAATGTAGGCCCAACGCTCTGTCATGTCAGCTTAGGAACAGAGTTCCTCAACAAGACTCCTAAAGCACAATGAATAAAATCAAGAATCACTAAGTGGGATGGCATCAAACTAAAAAGCTTCTTCACAGCAAAGGAAACAATCAAGAAGGTGAACAGAGAGCCTACAAAATGGGAGGAAACCTTTGCCACCTGCACCTCAGATAGAGCATTAATCTCCAGGATATATAAAGAACTCAAAAACTTAACCCCTAAAACCCAAATAACCCAATCAATAAGTGGTCCAAGGAACTGAACAGACACTTCACAGAAGAAGAAATATGAATGGTCAACAAATAAATGAAAAAATGTTCAACATCACTAGTAATTAGAGAAATATAAATTAAAACTACGCTGAAGTTTCATCTCACTCCAGTACACTCATACATTGCTGGTTGGGATTGCAAATTGTTGCATCTCAGAAACCACCATTTGGCCCAGTTATCTCACTCCTCAGTTTATACCCAAAAGACTTAAAATCAGCATACCACAGTAACACAGCCAAGTCAGTTAGCAGCTCGATAATTCACGATAGTTAAGCTATGGAACCAACTTAGATTCCCTTCAACAGATGAATGGATAAATAAAATGCAGTATATTTATACCATGGAATATTGCTCAGCCTTAAAGAAGAATGAAATATGGCATTTGCCAGTAAATGGATAGAACTGGAGACTGTCATGCTAAATGAAATAAGCCAATCCCAAAAAACCAAAGGCCAAATGTTCTCTCTGATATGTGGATGCTAACACATAAAGGGGGTGGGGAGGGAAGAATAGAAATTCATTGGATTAGACAAAGGGGGATAAAGGGAAGGGAGGGGGTATGGAAATAAGAAACAAAATGAATCTTACATATAACTTTCCTATTTCCTAACAATTCAGATATGTACATATACGAATACACAACCAGTGAAACTCCACATCATGCACAACCACAAAAATGAGATCCTAAATAGAATAAGTTAAACTCCATGTGTGTATAATATGTCAAAATACACTCTACAGTCATGTGTATCTAAAAAGAACAAATTTTTAAAAGAAGAATCACTCTGCAAGTATTTCCTCTGGGTTCTTACCATTACATGACCTTATAATATAGTTGACCATGTTTTGGGTAATGCCTAATTTTGTAAGGATACAAAATATTCTTTTTTTATATTGCAACTAGAATTCCTTTAGAAATAAGTTTATGGGAAGCCTTCATGTTTAAGAGCCTACAGAGTGTCATGGAAGTCATTTAATCTCTGTGGATGAGTCATTTTCCAAGTGGATTAAGACTGTAGGCCTATCCCTAAATCCTTAAGAATGCTGATATGTTTTTTTGTTTTTTTTTTTAAATGGGAAACTTCTCTTTTTTTAAAATGCGTGACTTCTCCCTCTGGAAATTAGATTTTTATGTAATAGCTAAGTACTTTCAAAAAAAAGAGGGGAAGTTTTGTGTCAAATAAGTGGATCAATCTAAGAAAACAGCAGGGACAGGTGCAGAGTAGAATCATCATGGAGGACAGGAAGAATTTGACCCACATTAAGTTCTTTGCCCTTAATTTTATTTTATATTAAGCATGAATATCTTTTGTTTCTTTCCTTAGGCGAAGAGGTCCGGAATCCCCAGAAAGCTATTCCCATTGGAATAGTGACTTCTTTGCTTGTTTGCTTTATGGCTTATTTCGGGGTCTCTGCAGCTTTGACACTTATGATGCCCTACTACCTCCTCGATGAAAAAAGCCCCCTTCCAGTGGCATTTGAGTATGTTGGATGGGGCCCTGCCAAATATGTTGTTGCAGCAGGCTCTCTGTGTGCGTTGTCAACAAGGTACATTGCTTTGCCTTTGGGGTAGGGGCAGTTTGGGTTCCTCCATTAGTCTATATGATGAAAAATAAAAGTACAGTTAGTATCTAAAAAAAATTGCCTTTGTATGTTCTAAAAATATCCTAACATGATGAACTTATTTTGCAGCTGTGTGCTCTCACTAAACAGTTTGCACTGAATTGCCATGTAATAATATTAATTGATTAAAACAAAAAGCCCTTTTCCCCATCAGTTTAGAATTAGCTTTTCAAGATATGGATGGTCCAAGCTTCTACTCAAATATATATGGCATCAGCACAAACACATATATGTCACTCATCTTTGTATAAGTGTGTGTTATAAAACTTTAGGAATCTAACTGTGGTACGTTTTTCTGCTGGCCTTGGTGTTGCTTGCAGTGTTAGACGGTCTGAAACTGTATGCAGACTTGGCACTTCCTGCTGTCCCTTAAAGTAATACTGAGTCTGTATGAGTGGAAGATACGTGTTGTATCATTTTAAAATATAAACATATGCTTTTTATTATGAGCATAGACTTTTCAGAATGAACTTGCTCTAGAAATAGAAATTACCATTCTCAAATTAATGGTGGAAGTTCATATCCTATTTATCTGAAGAGAAAAGGGTATTTGAATCTTACATGGTCATATTCAGTTGCTGTTCGTTTTAATACTTTAGGATTCATATCTTGGTTTTTTTTTTTTTGAGTTATCCATATTTCCAATTAATACATGATCAAAAGTAAAATTTTACCCTAATATGGTACATTGTACTATAGAATATTTTTACAAAGAGAAAATTAATCTTTTTGCCTGATTACTAATGTTTTGAGTGAAAGTAATTTTCTAAAAGTCAAATTAGAAAAATAAATATAACTTTCAGTGTAGTTTTATTTCAGAATTCCTTTTATTTTTTTAAAACATAATAATGTTGAGTGGCAATTAGAAATTATTCTGTGACCTGGACACAGTAGTGTACACCTATAGTTTTAGTCACAGAGGAGGCTGAGGCAGGAGGATTACTTGAGCCCAGGAGTTTGGGGCCAGCCTGAGTAGTATTGTAAGATCTCAAAAAAGAAAGAAATTGCTATTGTGGGTTTCTCAGCCATCTGCTAGTGTTGAGGTTTATTTTGAAGACCTTCACATGGTTTAAAAACTCAGAATTGTAAACATATTGTGTCACTGTAGTCTTAGAAGGGTTGGACAGAGATTCATCTGTGATTAAGCTCAACACACCTTTATTAAAAGAGAAAATGGATTTTTAAAAATAAAGCATTTTACTTGTTTTCTCTTTAGTGTTCATCTTCTACAACTAAATAATAGATGGAATGGTATTACTAGAAACACAAGTAATTAAAAATCTTAAGCAAAATTCTTGTTAAACTTTACTGTTACTAACTTTTAGTTGTGGCTACTTCTCTGTACTACATTTGCAGTAAGTTGATTTTTTTAAAAAACCTGTATCAGCTTTAATTATCTTGTGATGCTGGGAATTATTACCAATTTGATCAAAGATTAGTCTATATGATGAAAAATAATGATAATATAAAAATGCATAGTTACTGAATATGAGATACAGCTGCTTAATCTCTTCTTTAATTATGTGTTAATTTAGGAATTTTATTTATGAATTATTGTCACCAAAAATGTCTTAATGATATTAATTTGGTTTTTTTGGTAATGTCTAATTATTTCATTTTAATTCAGTAAGATGCACACAGATGACTTACTTGCAATATTGTTTTCAGTGTGATAATTTGGTTGGGCAAATAATCTGGAACAAAATAACGACTAGTACAATGTATTGTCAAATATTTTTAAATGTCCAATCATAGTGCATTTTAAAATAATATACTTCATAATTATAGCTGTCCAGCTGATTTGTACACAGTTACTTGATTTCAGTGCTGAGGTGTAATCTTGCATGAATGTGTTTGCCATACTGCATGTCTTTGCTTTTCATTCAGTCTTCTTGGATCCATTTTCCCAATGCCTCGGGTAATCTATGCTATGGCGGAGGATGGGTTGCTTTTCAAATGTCTAGCTCAAATCAATTCCAAAACGAAGACACCAATAATTGCTACTTTATCATCGGGTGCAGTGGCAGGTGAGAGAGGGTTGATGTCTGTTGAGAAAAGGGGGATCTTTTTCATCAAGGATTCTGAGAAAGAATAGAAAGTTAGGTGATCACCTGTTTTGATTGATACGAAGTTCAATAGTTCAGTAATTTTTTGTGACTTGTTCTTGTTTTGAATTTTTTGGTTCTGCATGTTACTATGTCCAGTCTTTACCTGTGTATATACCTTTCTGGAATAATACTTAAAATAACTTACATGTGGATTATGAATTTTTCTGTTCTAGTCTTCTGGGCTCTATGTTTCCTTTACCCCGCATTCTGTTTGCCATGGCCCGGGATGGTTTACTGTTTAGATTTCTTGCCAGAGTGAGTAAGAGGCAGTCACCAGTTGCTGCCACGTTGACTGCAGGGGTCATTTCTGGTAAGCTTTACACATAGGCTTCTTCAGCACTGGACTGGAGCATTTTGTGCGCATGCATGGACTTAGAAAGTGGGTCTGCATGCTGTGCATGTAAGTTAAGAACAAAATCATGGATAAATTAATGTATGAGCATTGGGATTAACATTTGAAAATTGTGGTGGTGGTGGTAAATTGAAATTCATCCTTAATTGATCTTTTGAGATTTTTAAATTATGTCATTATTTTAACCATTTGGACTTCTAACTGATGTGCAAAGGTTATAAAATAATGCTTCTTCAATATGTATTGGGTATACTTTTTTAATTGATGAATGAGCACATGAAATTCTATTTTTGATACAGAATATTTTAATTGAAGAATCACTTAATTTGGGAAATATTAATTTTAAAATAATGATTCTAGGATTTTTTGAAAGTTAAACTTCACCCCTCCTTGATTAAAGTATTGAGAAATGTCAAAGATAAAAAATAACCTCTGGCTGGCCATTATACTCGCTGCCCTCAGTACTGTGGCATCCCTCCTTCCTGGGTGCCTAGTTCTCTAAGACTTACAATATCCTCTTACCCCATTTGGAATCTAGTTGTATTTGCACCAATTTGGACGTGTAACTTACATTCAGAAAATCCAGATTGCCTACATTTTGACATGTCTTAATATCCTTGTAAAATGCCTTCGGCCAGATTCTTATTGCATGCAAAAAATTTCAGAGATTCTACAGCTTGAAAAGAATGGTCTTAAAGGACTGTTATAGGAAGCAGGATAAAAACAATAGAAAGTTTTATATATATATATAAAATGATATAGTCTTGGTAGTAGACATTTAAGTCAAAATAATTTTGTTAAAGCTCTGATATATTGGGGACTTAGAGAGGGCTAATGCTTCATTATATATGAAATGAGATTTCAGGGCTAGAAAGTATTTGCTGAAAAAGTTTCACTTTGAACATTTTTCAATAAATCTGACAGTTGACAAGGTGTAGATTAGAAGGTCAGGTCATGTGTTTTCTCAGATTTCTGTCCCTATAAAATAAAGATTGAACTGGATGACCCAAAGATCATTTTATTTATCAGTGCATTACAGTATTAAAGATAGTTCATAAATTTTTCTTGTCAAAGGATCACACATTTTATTTAATCTCTAAAACCTTTTTCTCTTTTAAGTAAAACTATTGCCCAATAATACTTTGTATTCAGAATTTTAAAAATAATGTATCCCTTTCCACTTGAAAATAATGTAATTTAGCAGCATAATAAGATGTAGAAGTTAATAATGAAAGAAGGTAATTGTAATGGAATTCTTCTTTTAATGCTCTGAAATATTATATTTTGGTTATTTTGGACTCTCAGACCTTACTTGCCTGTATGGATAATCAATCATATTTTCCTCTCTAACTACTTTATTTCACTGTGATCCTTATACAACATATTAAAATTAAGTATACTAGCAATAAAGAGTTTTTGAAGTTAGGCTTACAGTGTATTTAAAGAAAAGATGTAGTATTGTAGAAGGAGTGCAGGGATGTTGGTTTAGGTGGAGCTCTGCCTCAGCCTGGTGATTGTAGCCTTGCTGAGTTAACCTGTCTATAAAATGGGGATAATCCGGTTAGGTCAGACTATGGGCAAATGCTGGGTTTTGGGTCAAAAATGGTCCAATAGCAGCTATTTTACATAGGTAAACTGAAATTATTTCCCATCTCATAAGATCATTGACTTAAAGATGAAATGAAATCATAAGATATACATCTTTCAGAGAGAGGTCTAGAATACCATGTAAATGTAATGTGACATTCTCTACTTATAGGATAAGGACTAATATGTGATAAATTTAAGTTAATATTAAAGTATATTTTACTTGCTAACATCATTGGGATTTGGTGTGCAGAACCACAAACTGGTCTCTCACATCTAACCAGTCTACCTGGAATGTATAGCTTTAATCACAGTAGAATTTCATCTATATTAGAAATATTGAATTGAAAATTATTGTATTGTTTAATTTTTCAAACTCATTTCAAAGTTTTTGAGTTGTATGTACTTCTTAATACAGATAGAAATTAAAATGACTATATAACTTCTATATGAAAACTCTCTGAAATTTTTTAATGATTTTTAATAATGAGCTAGCCAGTATTTGCTAGCAAAGTTTTTCTTCTGAGACATCCCAGGACAGTATTCTATCATATATTTTCACTGTTTGTCAGGACAAATGTGTTGCAAATAATAAATGAGACGTATTTTGTACTTGCTAGACAGCTGAGAGTCTTTGAAGACTGATTAGCAATTTATATGACCTAAAGAACACTTTATAACTATGAGAAATATATTTTCTATACTTTAATTTGTCATTGATATTGAAATTTTTAAAAAAGTGCCAGTTATTTGTCCCTGAGTCAAGTGATTAACTGTATTGAATTTCATCTGAGGTCATGAACTTGGTCTTTTTTCCTTTTCTTCTCCCAATAGCTGTGATGGCATTTCTTTTTGACCTGAAGGCACTTGTGGACATGATGTCCATTGGCACCCTTATGGCCTACTCTCTGGTCGCAGCCTGTGTGCTCATTCTCAGGTGAGTTGCCACTGGTTCTGAAAGGCATGTGCCAGGTAGGGCTCTGGGAGTAAAGAAAATGGGTCTTACCATCCTTTCTTTCAAGGATGCCAATAGTCTGACAAGGTGAGAGGCCATGTCCGTCATTAAAAATCATTGTAAAGTGGCAGAAGCAGAAGCAGCCTTGGTCTTTAGCAAAGAATTGAGCACAGTTTGATCATTAGTGATAGGTTGGCCCAATCTATGTAAATGGTAATTTCTTATAATGTATAAAGACATTTAAATATACAATACTTTTTGTCCCGATAATTCAGTGCCAAAATTTTACACTAAAAGTTTAATTGAAGAAGCATGCACACATTATTATTGCTGTATGTATATATGTGACTGCATGACCAATATGATTCTGCAACCTGTACATTCAGAACAATGAGAAATTAAACCCTGTCTGATTCAAATGTATGATATGTCAAGATCATTGTACTGTCATGTGTAACTAAAACAAATTTAAAAAAGAAGCATGCAGAGATAGATTTAAAAGATGTTCATGGAAAAGGTAAATTTACAAGAGTGAAAAAAAATGCAACTAACCTATCAAAAAGAGAATGGTTAGATAAATGAGGATACATTTATTCAGTGGATTCTTTTACAGCAAATAAAATGATAATTGTGTGGATATATATGTCAGTTTCAGGATGTAAACCTATATATAGCATCTGAGCTTACTTAAATAACATGTTTACATAAAGAATTGATATATGTATATACACATATATGTCTGGATGAAATTGTACCAAAATGCTAACAGTGATTAACACTGGGAGTGGTTCCAGGTGGTTTTAATTTTCTTCTGTATACTTTAGTGTATTTTTTCTCAGTGAGCATATTTCTTTATATGGAGGGAAAATACTACTTTCTAAAGTAAGCAAAGGCTGCTCAGAAGAAGAGGCCTCACTGGAGAAGGATGGGGGAGATACCAGGAGGTGGGGCCTGTGGTAGGAGGTGCAGGCTGCTATCTTGACAACTTTCTATAGAGGAAGAGGGCACAAATCATAAAGGAAAATGGTATGCACTGGGTAGGGAGAAGGCAAAATGGTTAGATGAGCTAGTCTGGGTTAAACTACAGGAGTCAGATTGGAAAGTTAGTGGAAATGAGACCAGACTATGATGAGGCCTTTGAATACCAACCTGAAGAGATTACACTATTCGGTAGCTGGTATTTAGCCAAAGTTTCTATACTGTTTCCATGAACTTCATTTCCTTTGAGCTTAGACAATTTCAGAAACAATTATCCTATTGTCACAATTGCCTCACCTTAAAATTTAACTGTTTTTTGCATCTATTGTATAACTTTCTAATTAAGTGTTATCAGAGAAAATCCAGGGTTGCTACAGATGTTTTATTGAAGAGGTTTGTGACCTGGGTCGGCACATCATGTGTCTGGGTCGTGGGAAGAGTCACTTGATTACATACAGTATGACTTTGTAACATGTCCTACTTAAGAGTTGTAGCTACAAAGAACTCAAAAAATTAGACAATAAGATAACAAACAACCCAATCAACAAATGGGCCAAGGACCTGAACAGACACTTCTCAGAGGAGGACATACAGTCAATCAACAAGTACATGAAAAAATGCTCACCATCTCTAGCAGTCAGAGAAATGCAAATCAAAACCACCCTAAGATACCATCTCACTCCAGTAAGATTGGCAGCCATTATGAAGTCAAACAACAACAAGTGCTGGCGAGGATGTGGGGAAAAGGGTACTCTTCTACATTGCTGGTGGGACTGCAAATTGGTGCAGCCAATTTGAAAAGCAGTATGGAGATTTCTTGGAAAGCTGGGAATGGAGCCACCATTTGACCCAGCTATTCCCCTTCTCGGTCTATTCCCTAAAGACCTAAAAAGAGCATGCTACAGGGACACTGCTACATCAGTGTTCATAGCAGCTCAATTCACAATAGCAAGACTGTGGAACCAACCTAAATGCCCTTCAATAGACGAATGGATAAAAAAAAAATGTGGCATTTATACACAATGGAGTATTACTCTGCATTAAAAAATGACAAAATCATAGAATTTGCAGGGAAATGGATGCCATTAGAGCAGATTATGCTAAGGGAAGCCAGCCAATCCCTAAAAAACAAATGCCAAATGTCTTCTTTGGTATAAGGAGAGTAACTAAGAACAGAGTAGGGACGAAGAGCAGGAGAAGAAGATTAACATTAAACAGGGATGAGAGGTGGGAGGGAAAGGGAGAGAGAAGGGAAATTGCATGGAAATGGAAGGAGACCCTCAGAGTTATACAAAAGTACATACAAGAGGAAGTGAGGGGAAAGGGAAAAATAATACAAGGGGGAGAAATGAATGACAGTAGAGGGGTTAGAGAGAGAAGAGGGGAGGGGAGGGGGGATAGTAGAGGATAGGAAAGGCAGCAGAACACAACAGACACTAGTATGGCAATATGTAAATCAATGGATGTGTAACTGATGTGATTCTGCAATCTGTATATGGGGTAAAAATGGGAGTTCATAACCCACTTGAATCAAAGTGTGAAATATGATATATCAAGAAACATGTAATGTTTTGAACAACCAACAATAAAAAATTAAAAAAATAAAAATAAAATATAGGTAATTATAAAAAAAAAAAAAAAAAGAGTTGTAGCTGCTGGTTTCATTTGAGCCAAATGTCTCTTTGAAAATAAAGACACAAGTATCTATTTGGGATAGGTACCAGCCTGGTTTATGTTATGAGCAGCCCAAATACTCCCCTGAGAAAGAAGCTCTGGGATCATGTGCCGATACAGCCTCAAAAAGTGAGTCCCAAGTCATCATGCTGCAACAACAAGGCTTCAGCCTGCGAACACTCTTTAGCCCCTCTGCTCTGCCTACACGACAGTCGGCTTCTCTCGTGAGCTTTCTGGTAGGATTCCTAGGTAAGTCTTCCTCACTGCATGTTGTAAAGACCAGCAGATGTGTGTAGATGGAGCCAGAATGAAGTGAAAGAAAGAGGACAGTAGGACTTGTGTTGCTCTAACCTATGTTAGCAACCAATTTGAGTCCTGAAATTTCCACCTAACAAGTTATGTGTAGTTGAGATTATGTGAGTATTATCAAGATAGGTTTATTGTGTCTTGATAATTGAAGAAGAAAGGAAGAAATTTCCTAAGGAAAGAGTTGCAGAAGTGCAAAACATTTCACTGGCTGTTAGGATACTCTGCTTTAAGTCTATCAAGTCAAATACCTCTTCCAATAATGGAACCGGAATCTGATAGGATTGGGAGGCAATGTAGTAAATCTTTGTTTGCTCACCCAGTTATCTAATTACCCGTAAATCCAGTGACTTTTCTTGATCATCATCGGTGTGGCACCCTGCTGGGCACTTGGAGTAGTAGGAGAGATGGTCCTTGCTTTCACAAGGCTTTTATGGCACAAGATTATTGCTGGCAAGCCAGGGAAGAAGAGGTTTCTCTGAAGAAGAGTTAGAGGACCCTCTAATATAGACTAGGAATCATGTCATTGTCTGAAACAGGGAGAAATGATGCAGGTCATATAATATTATCCATCTGAATTATCACTTTATGTTTGCAACAGCTTAAAATACACTTGCCATCTCTCATTGGGGGAAAAAAAAAGCGGGGGAACTGTCTACCCTCTATAGCATCCCATCAGTCCATGTAATATAGTCAGAGAGTAGCAAATGAGGTTCCAGATGGCATATGGGCAAGGAAAGCAAGATGGTAGCACCAAGTGAGAAGGTTGTTGTCTAAGCAGACGGTAATGCAGAATCATACAGTGTTTCTTAAATCAGTAAAATCAACCATCTCTTTTCCCAATGCAAAAGAAGAAAGGAGGAAGCAAATAATCTTTATATTCAGTGAAGCACATATATAAAGAACTCATGTTGTATCAGAATAGACTTAGAACTGCGGAAGTGAAGTGCACATGCTGACTTCATTTTAATACTTACACCTTGCAGCATTCCTCATATTGGGCCTGAGTATTCTGACCACTTATGGAGTCCAGGCTATTGCCAGGAGGGAAGCCTGGAGCCTCGCTCTTCTCGTGCTGTTTCTCGTTCTCTGCATCACCGTCATCCTCACTATTTGGAGGCAGCCACAAAATCAGCAAAAAGTAGCCTTTATGGTATGTGTGGTGGGGATTAGAGATCCTAAACATTGTGTGCACTTACTTCCCTCTGTTTGAACTGTGAGTTGTTTTTTTAAAAAAATACTAATTCTAACAATGTTAACCCATGAACAAGAATATCAAAATTCCTGGACATGTCCCTTTTGTCACAGTATTCCCTCTATATTGGCTGTTGTACTCCCCATTGCTAAAATTTGGATATGCTCCTAATGCAAGATTTTTATATAGGGTAATAAACAAATTTTTTTACTAATCTGTAATATCAGAAAAATAATTGGAATATATTTAGAGATTCAAAGCCCTCTCACATTTATTCCCATCGAAAGCCCTTCCTCTGTAATAATCATGTCCTATTAGAAGTGAGAGCAGGCTTGGGCTGGAAGAGGGTTACCATGTATACACAGAGTTCCAGAGGCATGCCCTGTTGATTTCTATAGTAGACGGATAAGCCCTTAACCCACTTTATCTTGGTGGTGATGCAAATCTCCTATTGCTTTGAGCTTCAGTAAATAATCTGAAATGTGTCTCTCCTTTCAGCAGTCTCTAGAAGTACATTTTTTACTTGGATTGGTTTTCTTGGAAGAATATAAATTTAATGATGCATTTTGAGAGTAATTATGACAAATTTATTGCGTAATTTTGGAATCATTTGAGGAATATGCTTTCAAATATGAGTATAAAAATATGAGTTTAAAAAGATGTCCTTTTCCTCTTAGGTTCCATTCTTACCATTTTTGCCAGCATTTAGCATCCTGGTGAACATTTACCTGATGGTCCAATTGAGTGCAGATACTTGGGTCAGATTCAGCATTTGGATGGCTCTTGGTAAGTTTTTTAATGTATTAGTTTTGGGAACTTTGGCCCTCTCTTTCATTTTTCATGGGCTGTCATTAGAGAATATTTCCTCTCTAACTTCAAGCTTTTTAAAATTCTTCAGTTCCTTCCTATCCCAAGTCTTAGAATACATCAGTGTTTTCTTTCTCAGGTATTTTTTACATACCTGTTTTTTTGTGTTTGTTTGTTTGTTTTTTGTTGTGCTTGAAGTGCTGGGGATAGACTTCAGGCTCTCGCACATGCTAGGCAAATGCCGTACCACCCAAAGATATTTCCAGTCCCTCAGATCCCTTTTTTAATGTAAATCTCTCAGTAAGCCTGGAAAACCACTTGGGTTCTATTTTCTCCAACTTATGAATGAGAAAAATGAAGCACAGAAAAAGTAATGTCATATCAACCCAAATTCTCACCCAGTTCTCTAAAATATAACCAAAACACAGCAAAATGCTTGCATATATGTAATTACCTTAAAAGAATACGTAAAACATCACCTCTTAGCCTCACACAGTTAGCATGACCGTTGATTGACAGTTCCTGTATACACCATTCTTTGGCCTCTCCTGGTGATAGTGACATGTGGAAGGCATATCCATGTTTTATTAACATAGGACATGCTTTCCAGAATAACTAACCATGACTGTGATAGTCCACCATGCATATTTAAGATGTAATTTTAGTCTTTACCTACATGTCATTTTGTTGAAAGTATGATATTGAGTTTTGAAAACATACATATAATTTTATTCCATATAAACATTGCCTGAAAAACATTTATTTAGAGAAAAATGCATGCTATAAAGTTGAAAATAAAGAAGTACATTTTTCTACCAGAAAAATATAGAGGAGACATGCTATGGGGTACCTTGTATTTGCATTCCATTCTTCTAAAATGCCAGAAAGAGAAGAGGGGAAAACCTATTAAGTTGTATGTTAAATTTCCCAGATGAAGAGTTACTTTCTGACACACCTAAAACTTTGTTGTTGTTTTTTTCCCTCCAAAAGGTTTTCTTATTTACTTTGCTTACGGCATTAGACACAGCCTGGAGGGTAACCCAAGGGATGAAGAAGATGATGAAGATGCTTATTCAGACAACATTAATACAACAGCAGAGGAAAAATCTGCCATTCAACCAAATGACCATCACCAAAGAAATCTCAGTTTGCCTTTCATATTCCATGAAAAGACAAGTGAATGCTAATGCTTGCAGGAGCAGAGCTGGTCCACAGTCTTACGTACATATCCTACATTGAATAAACTATGACAGGATGTCATCATCATGCTAGGTTGTCATGGGATTGCGGCGTGCACAGTTCACCTGAATTGTATCTCCTCACTTGGTGAATTATATGCATGGGAAACCTCCTGAGCTCTCTTCTCAGTGATGAATATCCCTAAAATAGTGTATGTGTGTGTGTATGTGTGAATGTAGGTATGTGTTTGGGAACATGAATGTTAAAAGTTAGTTGGTGTATTTTACTATTATTTTGTCACATCACACCAGTATTGTCATAATTGGTGGCATATACTGCACATACCTAAATAGAGGTAAATCACTGAATAGAAAGTGTTTTATACGTGCCCTCTGTGGTTGGGGAAATAATGATTGCTTTTCCTTAATAGGCTTCGTTAATGTCAGTGCAGGTACACTAAAGATGCAGTTGCCCACTATCATGTCTATCACTGATAGGGGTGAGGGGATAAAGAATGAGCCTTTTCTTTAAGTTGTAAATACCAGTAATGAGTTTAGTTCAGTTTTTTCCTGTGTGGTACAACAGTTTGCTAACTTCAGCCAGAAGGAGCATTTGCTTCTGCTGTTATATGCAGGACAGAATGGCATTCCATGTCACCAGATGGCATCCCCTGCAACTCTTCTTTGCAAGCTATGGTCCTTAGAGGTGAGATACCTGCACCGTCTGCACCCTCAACCCACTGAAGTGCTTGTGAGATGTACTGTGATCTACTTGGGACTCTTAAAACTAAGGAGTGAGGTGGGCCCCATGGCCTGAAAGCAGGAATAAATGGAAGTCACTTAAACCAGTAGAATCTGACAAATGACTCAGTTGATGGAATAATTCATACATTTTTTGTAGGACCTGATCACAGTTCAACATTTTTAACTAAACAGGCACAAAATTCACTCCTCTTTTTCTATTATTTTGTCTTATCCTAAGTGTGAGGGGATACAATAGCAAATTCTACCTTTACAACACCAAGTAGAGGAAAAGATGCAAGAATGTAAGAAACAACTCCCCTATTCTGATATTAAAGTGCCTGTTTGGATAGTAAAGGGCATTTGACCCAGTTTAAGGAGTTAAGATCTATTTTGATTCTGTTGTTTCTTTTGGAAGCACTTAGGGAAGTCTTCCACCCTGCTCCCCAATAAATCTTTTAGCACTTTTTATTTCCTTTGCTTTTAAATGACTAACAGTCATTTAAGCTGTTAGTACCAGTTAAACTATTAGTACCAGTTGCAGTGTTTCACAATAGCCATCAATAAGTGGGGAATTCTTTTGAAGAATTTGAAGAACATAATTACTTAAAGCTTTAAACTAAAAAATTAACCAAACTGAATTAAAGCTATATAAACATGATAACCTTTGTCTCTGAATAAATTGTATATGTTAAAATATTCTACGTTCTATATTTTACCTTATAGTGGATCATAAATTCATCTTAAATGTGTTTTGCTCCTCATGAATGACTTTTTGTGCAAATATTTAAATGGTTCATTAGAGGAGGCTAGAGCTAGACACTTACAGGTGGGTGGCATCCCAGAACACCTGGGTGAGTGTTACCAAGCATGCTAGTTGATCCCCCTAATCCAAAGGCAAGGAAAACATTTGTTTTCTGACATTTCTTTTAGGAGATCAGTTATCTTATTGATGCTATTCAAGTTACAATTATATTGTGTAGTCAGGAGTTGTTTTAATTGAATATCAGATTAATAGGTAGGAGGCCTATGTTTATAGCTGCTATGTTTTAGCATCCCTAACGCAACTCATTACTGACATTCCACAATTTCCAGGATGCATGTGGTAAAATCTGAAGCCCAGCCAAGTTTTACTGAAGGGGAGGAGTTAAATAAGCAAGGGGCAAAATATTTTAGTAAGGACTGTGGGGATGAAATCCTTGCTGTTCTAGCAGTACACTTAGACCCTTTTTATTCTAGAATCAATGTAGAATGGGCCCTTCACACAGGAAATGTGCACAATTTCATATATGAATCTTTTAATCTTTTACTATAACAAAATTAAGAAATTAGCTTAGAATGTGATAGGCAGCTAAAATATTATGCCCACTGTATTCAATTAGGGAGCAGAATTAAGTTAAAAATTGTTTTTTCCACATTGAAATGCTTAGTAGACAAAAATGTCTATGAAGAGATGCTTGGTCATGGCAGCACATTTTTTCTGTGAAGACTCAAGTGGATGTGCCTGTTTGTATGTATGTAAGCACGTTTATGTATGTATGTGTGATGTATATGTGTGTGTGTGTGTGTGTTTCAAACATCAGTGTATTAAGTTGTGTTTATGGTAGGCTTTGGATATGATATTGTTATTTGGATAGAAAAGCCAACTGATGTGGAGAAAAATTAGTGTTTTATATTGATAGGTATTTTAGGTTTTAAACTATTTAAAAATATACAGCAATTTTATATGTATATTTTCTATAGATAGATTAAGAAATATTTATCATGTTTCTAATATAAAATCACTGAACTCTACATTATAGATATATTATAACAGGTGCTTTGTAATCTAAATGGAGTAGAGGTAGGGACTTTAGGTATCACTGTTTACTTGTTTCCTTTGTACCTTTTCTGACACACCAGTTCTGTTGCCTGCATTTGAATTTATAACCCTTTGAACAAAATGTTATATTTACTTTTTTAGGATTACCAAAATGTTTTATGTAGATTTGACTAGTAATCAATCAAATTTATATAAAGTCCTCTCCAGAATTAAAAAAAAAAAAAGTATATCACATTCTTTTAATTGTGATTAAGTAAAAGCAGCTCCCATAACTTTTCTTTATATACTAGGAACTATGTTCTCAACATTTTTCAATGAAAATGTCTTATAATGACTCCTTAATGTTTTTCTCTAAAAAGGAATACTTTGTGAATTACCATAAAAGGCAATGCTATCCCTGCATTTAAGAAGATGACTGTGCATACTCTAGTTTAAAAACTCCTTATGAGAAAAGCTTGTTAGAGCCTTCGGTATATACTAAAATTCAGATAATTGCTTAACCACTTTTTCCCCCAAGATAAACATCAAGAAAACTAAAATATCATTTGATACATACACATGTGCATTAGTTCTATGTATCAACATCTCAATGTTGAAACTAATATCAGTATATAAAATTTTACTGTTACCAAAGTTGATATCAACCAATGAAAGGCAGAATAAGAGCCTGTTTTTTATTTTAATGAAAAAGTTTTTAAACTTTTTTATTTTAAATATTAGCCAAAATATTTTCTGAGTCCTGGGTGTTGGCAAGTTAGCTGTCAGTTCTTTTTGATAAAACATTTTTAATTAGAATCTGTTTTTACCATATTTTCTAAATTCATTTGAGTACTTCACAAGGAGTATAAGGGAAAGTAATTGCCCTCAATGATGAGAGAGCAGCTGAGCCTTATTATCTCTATCAGGGCATATTCCAGAATTGCAAACTACATGACAAAGTCGTGCCAAAATTCCAGCTCTCCTTGCCCTGCACCGTTGCCCTCACCGTTCTCCTGATTGCTTCAAGTGACAGCACCAAAATTACAATTCCCACAGGGCTTTCAAGGATTGAGTTTAGAGTGTACGTCATGGATTATTAAGATTCACGTGATTAGTGAGTATTTCTGGTGAATGAAGTTAACTACCCTTTTTGCTAGTGCCAAAACAGTGCCTTCTCTGTATGTTCTCTACTTTATAAAGTTCTCTAACGTGCTTATATATCAAGGGGAAAAGTACTAAAGATCATATAGTACCTAATGCCAGCAAAGGTCATTTTTTTTTTAAATGTATGGATGTGAAAATAAGGTTGCTTAACTTGTTTAGCTGAGTTTTTTTTTTTTTTTCTTGTATAATTATATTTAAACACTTTAAAATAGTTTTCTGGTTTCTGGATTTTTAGAGGCCTGATCCGTTATCGTTGTAGTTGTTGGTTCATACTGTTCATTATTGTTTTATGTATACGGTTTAGTCTTATTGATTTCAAATGCATTTTGTTATGGCCCAACCCAGTGGGTAACACTGCTTGCTGAGAACATTGTACTCAGCTGTTGCTCACCATAGCTAAAGCCACTGCCACAGTCTCTGGGCCTTCAAGACTCTTCTTTGACCACTGATAGCACCATCAAAACCAGAACCCCAGGGTCAGACAGCCTGTACCATGTGAGCAGCTCCAGCTACCCCTGTTGGTGGGGTCTTAGAATAATGGGGAGAATATGATATAAAAGACTTCAAATGCAAATAAGTTTGTTTGGGGTTCTTAATTTCAGTTCTGAATATCCCATGAGTATGTCCAGATAAATAAGGACCAAGGAACATCTATGAGTCATAGAAGAAGTGGCTGCTTCCTGGAACTGGCAGGGAAGGAGTAGGGCCTTCTGCTCTTCCTGTACACTGACGTGCATGGCCACGACCCAATTCATAAGAACCTTTTATTACCAACAGAATAGGTTTCTCTGACCCAAAACTGGTCAATGGACCCTTTATTTTTCAGATCCACTACTACCTGTGTCTAGTTGTCTTAATGCTTCGTTATCATTGTACTTAAAAGAAATTATTGATAGGGTCTAAACCATACAGCAATTCTATGTCTGTAAAACCCAACAAATACATTGCAGTTGTGCTAATGTAAAGATTTTTTGTTGTTGTTTAGGAGATAATTTTAAATTTAATGTTTTCAATGATAATCAGTGTGTCTTTTTACTTTTAAAGTTGGATTCTTTTTTTTAGAATTTGTAATAAAAAAACTATTGCTGCTTTAACTACTGTAAAATATGCTTTTTAATGCGATCATGTATTTTTAAATAAATTTTAATGTGACAGTAATTTAGTATGCATGTTTCATACAAACCAAAAGTATGCATTTCATATTGACTGAATACCTTTTTTAACTGGGGGAACTTTAAAACTCAGAAATACAATGTGATCTACTTTGAAACTATTTTGTTATACTTGCCTGGGGCCTACTATATAACTGCCAAGACCTGCAACATTAAAGAGATGTTTTTCCATATCTTCAAGCTTCTTGGCACATTCCCAAAACTATCAGTTGCTTCTGAAGCATGCTACTCCAGGGTCTCACAAGTGAGATTCTATACCACCTCAACTGCCATTTCATGGACCAGTCATTTTCACAATGCTCTGATCTATAGGAAGCTATTCAATGGTCATCCCACCAAACCATAACCTTTAATAACTGGTGAAAGGTTCTATACACCTAAAATTTTTCAGTATGGAAAATAAATATTTACAACTTCAACTCTTTTGACCCTCTGATAGGGAGAAGTGAAAGTATTTTGAACATGATTCTAAGTTACAAATCTTTTAAATTAGTTTAATTTTGAAATTTCTTGGTGTATAGTAGTTATATTGATGCTAGTAAAATGAAAGGAACACCTTGAAATGTTTACACTTTGATAGCAATTTAGCCAGCATGGAAACCATGCTAAAATAGCTAAGAATTTGCTAAGTAGATACCTAAAACCATGTATCTAATTGTTGTCTTGATTAGCATTGCTAATAAGTGTGGGTGCCCCATCTCTGCTTTGGCACCATGGGAGCACAGGAAGGAAGAACTCCCCAGCAGCTGTGTCTGGGTCCAGGCAGGACCCCCTAAGGGTACGAACATGACCTGAGTGTTTATAAAGAAGGCCACAGATAAGATTTCTCCTTGGGCTCACAATCCATGAGTTTTTGAGGGACTGTGTTGAGAAGTCCCCATCTGTGTGGGATGAGTGATTCATTTCGTCCCATAAAATATCTCAAAAAAATTCTCCAAGACATATAAAAATAACTCCCATCAACACATTACCTCAACTGTTTTAAAGTAGGCCAAAGTATGGGTGAAACTGGAAAGAAACTCAGTGCAAAACGGATTTACTTATGTGAATCTTTTTGGTAATGGTTGATAGCCACCTCTTAAATATGTTTAGATACCAGAGATTTGAGAGGTCATAAATGTGGGTAAAGAGGCCTTGTTCTACCAAGACTGGAGCAGTCGTCAGGAATAGAAAGACACAAAGCAGAGACTGCATTAGCAAGAGACCCAGGACTACATCATGGCCCCGGTCATGGTGGAAAGCAAGCTGATTTCTGGGTTCTGGGTCCTTTAAGCTATAAATACTATAGCATCACCATAGTTCAGGATTCTGGGGTTTCCCCATTTGGTGAGGTCTTCAGAATCTACCCCCACCTGCTCATTGATGTCTAATAATTCTTTACACAAGGACCAAGGGTATCATGTCCTGGTAGAAATCCAGCTTAAAATTGCCTGTTATTATTAATTTTTTTCTTTGGCAATGTTATTTTTCAAATTCAAATTCATCTTGAGATTTATGTGATTTAAGAAGCTACATGTGAGGGACTGGGGCTGTAGCTCAGTGGCAGAGCGCTTGTCTAGCACATGTGAGGCACTGGGTTCAATCCTCAGCACCACATAAAGACAGATGGGCATGCTACTCATCTACAAAAAAAAAATTAAAAAAAAAAGAAGAAGAAGCTACATTGGGGCTGGGGCTCAGCAGTAGTGCACTTGCCTGGCATGTGTGAGGCACTGGGTTTGATTCTCAGCACCACATATAAATAAATAAAATAAAGGTCTATCAACAACTTAAAAAATATATTTAAAAAAAAATGAAACTACATGTCTTGGAAAGCCCTTATATTTCTTGGAACCCTACTCCCATCCTTTTCTGGACTGTTATATCAGTTTTCTAGGGCTGCCATTACAAAAATACGACAAATTAAGTGACTTAAACAGCAGAAAGATATTTTTTTCACAGTTCTGGAGATCAACATGCTGATTCTAAATTAATTTGGAAAAGAAAATGTACAAGGATAATCAACAGAAGAAAAAATGATGAAGTGCATCCTTGGCCCAAAGAATAAAACCCACTACACATCCATAGCAATGAACACAGTGTGGTATTTCCCTAGGTATAAAAATATCAGTAGAATAAAATAAAACAAAAAAGATCCATTTACATATGTATTTGATACATACTAAAAGCCAGCTCAAAAAAGAGAAAGAACCAAATGGTGAAATAATGACCATCCTACAAAAATAAATAAATAAATAAATAAAAAGCTAAACATCTAACCAGCCATACCAAAAATAAATTATAGGGAGATTTAAAGTCTACACATGAACAACAAAATTACAAAATATCATGATTTAGTTTGATAATTAGAGGCAGAAGAGACATAAAGCCCAGAAGCCATGAAGGAAGTTATTGAAAAATGTAATTGATTAAATAGTGCTTTAATTGCTTGAAGAAAGGCATCATTAACAAAAACACAAAGGAAGGGTGAAAATGGTCTAAAATATGTAAAACACACAAAAGCTCAATAGCTAGTACATATGTGTGTATATGTATACATATAAAACTGTTATTATAAAGCAAAAATAAAAAGAACTCAGTTTTCAAAAATAGACAAATATATGTGACTAATAAACACACGATAAGATGCTCAGCTTCAATAATAATAATAAACAGAATGGGAACTGAAAGAACACAACGTGATTTTTGCCTCTATCAGGTTATAAAAATTGAAAGAATGGTCACATTCAGTGTTGGTGGAGCAGTAAAGAAATAGGTCAGCATACATGCTCCTGAGGAAAGTCGAACTGGTTGTAAATATGGACAGCTTTGTAGAAGGGAAAGCTGGTAGCATTTATCAAAAATATTAAATATCATGAACTTTGGCTAAATAATCTCACTTCTAAGTGTCTATAGATATACTCATGGGTACAAAGAAGTTGGGATAAGAATAGTTTATGTGGTAGTTTTTACAGAAGATTTTTTAAAACAATCAAAGTATAAAGAGGAGAAAATTAAATGACAGTGTGTCTATGTAATACTTTGTCGCTAATAGGAAGGGTAACAGACATGAAAGAGTATTTTTATTATTTTCATCATTTCCTGTCATATAATTCTGTGGGGGTTTTCAATACTTTTGAATGGATTAATTAGGTAGTGTTTTGTTAAGTGTTATTTTATAAATAAAATACAGCTGGGTACCTTGGTGCACACCTGTAATCTTAGGGGTTCTGGAGGCTGAGACAGGAGGATCAAAGCCAGCCTCAACAACTCTGCAAGACTGCAAGCAAACTAATAAGACTGTGTCTCAAAATAAAAATAAAAAGGGGTAGGGATATGTCTCAGTGGTTAAGCACCCCGGTTTAATCACTGGTACCAAAAAAAAGAAAGAAAGAAAAGAAAACACAGGCAGAGCAACCCAGTGCTACTCTTCATTAATGCCAAACTTCTTCATAATGTGGCACCATTTTTCCTCTCCCCAGGTCTTCCACTTTGCCTACCTCAAGAGTCAGCCAGTATTCTAGCATCTTCTTCAGTATGTACTTTGTAGCTTTGTGCTTTGCCCTGATTTTCTTTCTCTGGGTATTACTGTTTAAAAACAAGACAAAAAGATTTAATGAAAAGCTATTAATACATTATGAATACAATAAAACACAATTCAGTCATTAAACATGAAATAGAGGGTGGAGTGAAATCAACTAAATTTATTTCCTGGCTAATGTATCATTTTTTTAAAGAAAGCAATTTTTCTGATTATAAAAACAATTCTTATTCATGGTAGAATACTTTGTGAATGCAGAAAATACACATTTTAAAAGGACTCCTGTAATCACATGATTTAAAGACAACCATTATGAGTTTCATCCAGGTTTGTTGCTTTCTGATCAATGTTAAATTCAAACACATCAAAAACGTCTTTCCAACATGCATGGAATCATACATACATAGTGTTATATCTGGCTTTTCCACTGAGTGATGTAGAAGCAATAGAACAATATCCGAGGTAAGAATCCAGGCAGTGACAGAGAAAATAAGTAAACTGCCCAGTTCACACAATTACTAATAGTAAATTCAAACCAAGTCTGTGGTCTATGACCTGCCGTCTTAACAATGTTCTATCCCCACCCACTTTTATGTCAGCTTTGTTGGGTAAAAGTCACTTTAAATAAGGTAACAAACAACCCAAGCAAATAATGGGTAAAAAATCTGAACAAATACCTCACCAAAGAAGATATAAAGATGGCAAATGAGCATATGAAAAAAGCTCAACATTATGTCACTAGCAAATTGCAAATGAAAATAAGGAGATAGCACTAAATGTTTCCCTATTAGAATGGCCAAAATCCCAAACTCTGACACCAAATGCTGATGGATATGTGAAACAACAGCAAAATGGTACAGCCACTTTAGAAGACAGTTTGGCAGTTTATTTCAAAACTAAATGTACTCTTACCATATAACCCAGCGATCACACTTTCTACGCTTTCTCCGTATTCCTGATTAACTGCTGGCTTTCAGCAGGCTGCATGCCCAAGACACCTGGGGAGTTTCTTTACATTCTTGCCCCCTGGCAATGGTGACCACAGTGGCTTCTGTCTCAGTCCAAGCCTTCTAAGGTCATTTTTGCTTGTCTTGTGTCAGCTCAGTCATAAGGAGGCCTTTTATGCCTGGGCCTTAAACAGAGGCCTTCCTTAGTGTTCCTGTCCTTCCTCCCAAAGGCACAGAAATTGGCCTGTGTCAGTAGAGGGGCTTGGAGGAAGGAGGAGCAAGTTTCCTGTCCCTCCCAGCACAGCAGCAGACCTCTGCTTTGTGTCAGTACAGGATTCTGGACCAGAGCCGCCTCTTAGCCCCACTGCAGATGGCTCTTCCTCCCAATCCTCCATCCACAGAGGAAGCCTTTGCCTGGAACCACAGGTGGAAGGCTTTCCCCTCCCTCATCCAGTGGCTTTCAGCTTTTGCTTTATGTGAGAGAAAAGTTTAGGAAGAAGGCAAGTTTTCATCCCATGC